GAGTTTTTAACCTCAGAGTTGTCCACACTGAGCTTCTGGCAACTTATCAGTTACAGTTCAGGTTTTCCTTTCCTGACACTGGCTCCCGCGATAATTTCTGCTAGTGAGGCTCAGCTCTCGTAAGTGGCCACTCCCTGCATTCACCTGTCAGGCTTTCTAATCTTCCGGGCAGTAGTTTGCCATACGTCCTCCTCTCTCTTATGAGTCTAAGAAGAGTTGTTGATCTTTCAGTCTCTTCAGCTTTTTATTTGTTGCTAGGACAGAGTGGCAGCTTCCAGGCTCGTTAGATAGGGAACCAGAAATGGAAGTTGCTGATCAGATTTTTACCCCCCCCCCCCATAACTCACTTGTTTATTCTTTGATGGTAAAAACAAGATAACTGGTACAAGATGGAGGCACTTATGCTAAGCCCCACGTCACCAAACCAAGACTTAGTTATAGTTTTGGCTCTCCCAGAAATGAAAACTTAAGCCAGTCAAACTGAAATTGTGTAATCAGTACTAGTTAGGTAATCTGGCTGATAGACTTCTGCCAGCCTCCAAAGGAAAGTGACCTTGCCATAACCAGTCTGCTTGTTTGTCTAGTATAACTGTCTTGTTCCTACTCCCTTCTGCCTATAAAAATCTTTCATTTGTACAGCTCCTTAGGGCTTCTTTCCATCTGATAGATTAGATATTGCCCAATACGTGAGTCCTTGAATAAAGCCAAAGAAGATCATTAAAATGTACTCAGTTGAATTTTGTTTTTTAACAATGCCCAAATGGTTCTTTTTTTAATTTAAGATATATTTTGGGATTGAATGCTGTGTATCAATTTTTTTCCCTAAGCTAGAATATGTTCTCTTTTATAGAAAAATTTACTTCAGTCATACATTTGAATATTTTTGCATTTGTTCTTTTCAGGAATTTTAATTATGCATATATCACATCGTCTTTGTTTTGCATTTCTGGTATCTTCTCCATAGTTATATTTTATATCTTTGTACTTTATTTCTTTTTGTATGATTTCCTCTTGCCTATTTCCCATGTCCGATTGTGTTTTCACCCTTAATCACTGTAATGTTTTACTTCTGATGTGGTTTAATTCTGTTACATGTTTACACTGAGAATGTTTCCTGTAATTAGTTTGAGACAGTGAAAACTAAGTAACCCTTCCTGTTGTTTCTTTTGGGAATTAATTGCTTTGGTAACCTATGTTTATTGTCTTTTTTTTTTTTGTATTGTTTTGTGAGGAAGATTGGCCCTGAGCTAACATCTGTTGCCAGTCTTCCTCTTTTTGCTTGAGGAAGATGGTCATGGTCCCTGAGCTAACATCTGTGCCAGTCCTCCTCTACTTTGTATGTGGGACACCACCACAGCACAGCTGGATGAACATTATGTAGGTCCATGCCCATGATTCGAACCTGCGCACCCTGGGCCGCCAATGCATAGTGCATGAATTTAACCACTACACCACTAGGCCAGCCCCTATTTATCATTGGTTTTTGCTTATGATCCTTTCCTTCCCACTGCCCTGTCCCCCCTGCCCCCGCCCCATATCTGTGTTAGGTCCCACATTGCGTTGTTTCTGATTATTATTCATCTTTGGAAGGCACTGGCCGTTGGTGGAAGAATAGTGTGGGAATGGTCATAGAGGGAGACCTGGGACAGTCTATAACTTTGATTTAAGTGTGTTGTCTTGAATACCGTTCACCAATTTGTTATATCCTTCTACCTTGGGAACATGTCTTTCCTCAAATTTAGGACCATTCTAGAGCTCAGTGCGAGACCCAGTAAGGCCATTTAAGCAGTTTCTGTGTGGAAACCTCGCGTTCTCTGCTTTTCTTTCCTTTTTCATCTCACTTCAGCTCTAAGAGTCTCTGCATGCCAGAGGGCTAATTCTTATACAGTGTAAATATCATTTTATTATGGTTTCTCCTTCCACTTTTCTTTCTTTGCCATCCTGCAACATTTAACATTTTTCTAGCTTCTTCCCTGGCCCATTCTTGTCTGTCCATCTTAGCCCTAAGCAAAGAGTCATTGGGTAGCCTGTCTAAATCCTTACAATTGACTATAAGAGCAATTTGTTCCTGCCTACTGGTCTGAGATGTCAGCTTTTTGGTTCATTGTTCATTTTGATTATCTGGAGCACTTAGCATACATGCTTTATAATGTCAAGTTTGAAGTTTTGGCTGATTCCTTGTTTCTTTAAGGTTGATTTTTTCTCTACTTTTTGTTCATTCTTATTTTCATTGCTTTTTAAGGGGTGAGAATAGAAAAATGATTTTAGTCCATCACCACTAACTGGAAATCACTCTTAAGTGTTGTTTCTTTGAGGAACTCTTAGTTTTTCTCTATCACTTTAATAAAACTCAGTTTATGACACTATTTATTTTGTTTCTTGGATCTCCTAAAGCTGACTGATAATGGCATCAGTTTTTCTGTCTTAATTATTCTCCACCACTTCCTTTAGACAGCTGTTCTGTGATTATTCCTATCGTGTTTGCATGCTTCAACAAGATGTATTTAGCTTATGAGCATAAAAATCTTTAAGTACTAAGCTATAAGTAAGAAAAATGAAGCCTCTAGAACCACTTGAACCAATGATGGGATCTCATTTTTCTGTGCTTCAGATTCTCCAAAGTAAATATAGCAGAAAATAATACCTTCTTGTATTTCTGCTTGTATTTACTTTGAGAGGAATGGGTTGATGCATCCCATAATTTGTTATAATAAAACTAAGCTATATGTATTCCAGGGATTTGGTTACTATTTTCTAATTTTTGTGAAGGCACTGCATACCTTTCCCTCACTGTTTTGAGTTCGTTCTTTATAGGACATAGGAGACATTGCAGATTGTTGAGTATTATATCTCTGTTCCCTGTACGCTTTTCCTTAATATTCTTTGCACAGCATTGCAAATAATTTTAAAAATTAATTAGACCTAGATTTCAAACAGGTATTATTCATATTTTTAAAGGCAATATCTCTCTCCTAGTGGAAATATTGATTTCCACTATTGTAAGAGTAAAAAATAATAGCATCTCTTTACTAAAGGTACATGTAATTCTTTTCTGAACTTTGAATTGTTGAAAAACTAGAGTGAAGCAGCTTATAAACACAGTCTCTGGTTTTCTTGATTCTTGCCTGCTTTAAAAGCAGGATAGATTATCTAATCCATGATGGGCTCTTGTACTGCCTAGCTTTTAACTTTGTTTGGATTGAAATGCATACTTTTCAATTTGAGATTAAAATTCCTTTTTCTTACATTGAAACATTTCAAACCTGTACAAATAGCTGTGTGTTTATTACATATAATAACATTCTTAGACATCAATCTCAAGAAATTTAACATTGATAATTAATATTATTGAACATGTAATCTATATATGTCATCTTTTAGTTGTTCCCCAAAATATTCTTTGTAGCTGTTTTCCCTATCTGGAACCAGTCAGGGATAATGCTTGTCTGTTGGTTATCTTGTCTGTTTACTCTCCTTTAATCAAAAGCAACCCCACTGCCTTTTTTGTCCTTTATGGCATTAACATGTTTGGAGAGTCCCACAGTCTGAGATTGTCTGGATTTATCTGATTGTTTCTTCATGATTATGTTCAGGGTAAGCAAACCAGTAAGGTGATGTTGTGTATTTTCCATTACATCATATCAGGAAGCACCAAAATTATGTCATCTGTCTCATTGTCACTGATGTTAGATGAAATCACTTTATTATGTGGTGTATGCCAGATTGCTCCTTGTCAACGTACCGTTTGTAATTAGGAAGTAATTTGTAGCACTTTGAGACCATGTGAGTATCCTGTTCCCCATAACGTTTCACCCAGTGTTTTAGTGTGCAATGATAATCTTTCCCTCAATTATATTAACTAGTAGTTGCAAAATAGTAATTTTTTTTCTAATTCTGTTGTTCCTTCTGTATTGATTAACTGACACATTTCTGTAAACAGCAGTTCCCATCCTTTTTAAACATTTGAGTTTTCACCGTGAACTCGTGAGTCATTTTTCAAATCAATGTTTTACATTCTATTATCATCAGTATTATTTTGGATGGCCAAACATTCCCAAATTGGTTGTGTGGAAGCTCGCTCCAGTCAAGTTCCTGTGTCCTTTGACAAGTCTCCATTTGTCTTTGAACACTTCTTTGCTCTCTGGTGCGGTGCGTAGCAGGCTCACCTTCTATTTTCACTCCTCCAGATGTGGAATCACCCTTCTCTCCGATAAGCCCTGGTTTCTTTTATTGGGGAATGATGTGTTGAAATAAAAATTTGGGTGCTGAATATGCTCATTTATATTGAGGAGTCATTGTCTCCTTGTCCTTTTAGTGGACAGAGGTGGGAAATACCTCTAATCTTCATTGCATATTTGTGTCTTTATTTTGTTTACAGTGAGAACGTTCATTTGTTCTATTCTAAAATACACCTAAACTAGTTTCAGGATTACTACATCCAACAACAGATCTGTTAAGTAAAATACAACATTTCTTTGCAATTCTTTTTGACCCTAAAATATATCTTACTGAACTTGGGGTTTTGTAATTGAAAATTACTTGAATTAATTGTGTTCCCCTGTGGGTTTGTATTATCAATTTGAGGTACGTTTAGTTTTATTTGTTTCTATATTTGTTTGTATTTAGAGTTTGCTTTTTTTCGTTCTTTTAAAATATAAGTTCATTTTGAAATGTGTGGAGCATTTGTGCGCCTCACAGACTCTGCTGCCCTCTGTGTTCCTCTTACCTGGTGCAGTCTCCTCCCACTCCCCTGTCAGGAAACCAGGTTTATTATTTTCTGTTTTCTGTATTGTCCTTTGTGTGTGTGTGTGTGTATGTGTGTATGATCTTATTTCCCTTTCTTAAACACAAAAGGTTAAGATTCTCTTTTATATCACTCATAAGAAATTATTTCCTAAAGAAGGAACTTCTCATTTTTTAGCCCGTGTATGCTTTTCATAATAACATACAATCTATTTAGAAAGTTTTATTTTTAATATTTCTCTGTCACTCATAAACAGGGGGACCTGGACGCTCTACCATGCCAACCCCAGGAAACACTGCAGCTTTTCGTGCTTCCCTCTGGACCAATATGGAGAAACTTGTGGATCATATTTGTACTGTTTGTGGACAGGTAAATATTTTAGAGAGTGAAAAGAACATTTATTATGGATTAACTCCTGGTTATTCCAAGTTGCGTGACCTTGGGCAGCTTTCTTAAAATCTCTGAGCATTTCAAATCACTACATTAGCTGATTATAATATATGTAAAACTTTTGGCAAAATGCCCTTTCTCTTCCCTTGCACTTTCCAGTGCCTGTGCTTTACACTTGTTTCTTTTCAAAATACCCAAGTATATACATTCTCTCTCTCCTCCCCTTTATTAGGTACAACATCTACAGAAAATATTAGCCAAGAAGAGAGATCCGGTTTCTCACATTTGTTTCATTGAAGAAATAGTTAAGGTATGTTTAAATGAAAATATTTTTATCTCTGTATTGAAGAACGCGGCAAGATATGAGCTGCATTGTTTTTGCTCCTGTCTTACAGCAAGCCTACGTGTCAGATAGCTATAGGGAGTGTATTTCTTGACAACTACAAATGTTCTTTGCAATATGTGTATAAGCATTTTTGTTTATTGAGTAGATGCTAACAGTAATGCTATTTATAGACTAATTTCTGAAATGAGTATAGTTATTTCTGATTTTCTGTCATATAAATGATTTATTGTAAATGTTTTTCAAAGTTCCGCTAAAGAATAAGATGAAACTTTTTGGTAAATAAGAGATTTACTTAGTGGTTATTGTAATGTCTTATAAAGTCTTCACTGAAGAAGGTAGGATCCATTCAGTTGTTAATTTCTCCTGGAAAGCACGTTGCTGTAATTCATTGTCCATATTCTGAAATCTCCCCTTTGTCATCCGCCAGTCTGCTGGCCTCATGGGCCGTAAGAATTCCTTCCATGCATAGAAATCCCTGACCCTACATCTTATTCATTCATTTTGGTGGGTTTTTGATAATGACTAGTAGAACAACTAACTCTGTTTATCATTAAACCTTAACACCTACTGCTCCAAAGAAAAAAATTCTCTAAGTTTCCTGCATCATGGTAAAGTTTCTTTTGTAGTTCAAAACTTGAAATATTTTATATGTTATATTGGGGACCTCCAAACCACCCCCAGGTCTGGTGATTCACCACACTCAATATGTTGTCGTGCTCTTGGCTATGATTTATTTAGAGTGAAAGAGTATGAAGTAAAATCAGCAAAAGGAAAAGGTGCGCAGGGTGAAGTCCAGAGGAAGCCGGGTGCAAGCTTTCAAGAGTCCTCTCCCACTGGAGTCAGACAGAATACCCTTAATTCCTCCGCCGTTGAGTTGTGACAGCGTGCGTGAAAGGTCATCTTCCAGGAAAGCTCGGCTTGAGCCCAGGAGTCCACAGTTTTAGTCAGGGCTCAGTTACTGCCTAGCATGTACCAAAATTCAAGACTCCCCAAAGAAAAGCAAGTGTTCAGCATAAAACACGATATTTGTACAAACAGCTTAGATACAATGAGCACTCTTACCAGTTAGAGAATCACAGGGACTCTCTCAAAATCCGAGTCCCAGCTGCCAGCGAGACCAGGCTTGCAAGCAGGCCTTCCTAGCTGCAGCAGTCTCAGACCTGCACGTACACTTGCATTAATTAGTACGCACCTACTTAGATTTCCCTGCTTCACATTTGGCTTTAACTCTGGGAAAGAAACAATAAGATGCTTTTGTCAGTTTGCATACACTAATTTTTGCATTTACTAGTAGATGGGATAATTAATATCAGAAGGCCATTTTTACACGTGAGCAACTGTACACGTAGTGTTATGTTATCATTCACTTCTGATTTTGGTCGTCTTTCTATCCAAATTAATTCGGTCTTTATATGGAGTGACTTGATTTCAAGCTTTTACTGTCTAAAGCTTTGTCTGTTTTTATCTTTTTAATATTTTAATTAATATTCTAACAACATAAGAACAATTATAATGAAATCATTATATTTGAGGGAGTCTAAGAAAAGATTAAAAGTAAAAAAGGGATAGCATCATTAAAGAGGCTTGTGTTTATGATATTATTGCATTGGGGCAAAGTTTCTACAGAAAAACTCACGTATCAATTCTTGGCAACAACCAATTATTACAGTAAAAGAACACTGGCGACTTTTGTGGGCTAGGTTTTAAATGCTTGTGAATTATTATAAATAAAAAGAATTATTAGGAATAGGGATGTATACTTTTATTCACTCTTCATTTAGTTACAAAATTTCTCATTTAATTAAAACCAATAAAGATTGCTTTTTTAAACATTCTTATTAAGCTATTTAAGAATATAGTCATACACAATGCACACACACACATTTACATTTATATATAAATTTTTTGTTTTGTTTTGAGAAAGATTAGCCCTGAGCTAACATCTGCTGCCAATCCTCCCCTTTTTTTTTTTTTGAAAGATTTTATTTTTTTTTCCTTTTTCTCCCCAAAGCCCCCCGGTACATAGTTGTATATTCTTCGTTGTGAGTCCTTCTAGTTGTGGCATGTGGGACGCTGCCTCAGCGTGGTTTGATGAGCAGTGCCATGTCAGCGCCCAGGATTCAAACCAACGAAACACTGGGCCGCCTGCAGCGGAGCGCGCGAACTTAACCACTCAGCCACGGGGCCAGCCCCCCAATCCTCCCCTTTTTTCTGAGGAAGACTGACCCTGAGCTAACATCCGTGCCCATCTTCCTCTACTTTATATGTGGGACGCCTACCACAGCATGTTCTGCCAAGTGGTGCTGGGTCTGCACCCGGGATCCGAACTGGTGAACCCCGGGCTGCTGAAATGGAACGCATACACCTAACGACTGCACCACCGGGCCTGCCACCTATATATAAATTTTAATGTAAATTTCCAGTTTAGTTGATTTTTTTGGCTAATATTTATGAAAAAAATTTAATCCCTTTTAGAATTCAGTATACTCATCTATATTCAGGAAAGATCAGTCTTTTATGAAAAGTCCAAAAGAACTTTTGACCCTACATACTTGGGAACTCCAGGAAAAGAGAAAAGTAAAAATACTCAATATATCTGTCATATAGTACAAAGATAGCACTTAAATTTTGCAATATTTACAGTAATTTCTTTAAATGGTCTTTATGTAAAGGTAAAAACAAATATTTTTGTGAATTATATAACTGCTATGTAAGAACATTATCTAGGTAAAATAATTATCAATGCTAATAGAATCTTTGTAAAAAGTGTCAGATTTTCAGAATGATTTGAGGCCCTAAATAATGACCCTTAAAAATGTTCAGAAAATTTTAAACTTAAGTAGATGATAATATATATCTGGTATCTTGGGTCATTGAAGAGCAATATCTGGACCAAGCTCTCTAAATAATTTTGTAATCTCTTTTTGAGGAAAAGATTATAAACGGAATGTTCTTACACTACCAGTTGTGCAGCTTCTAGATTACTGAGAAGGATATATTCTGATATTGAAAGTTCTTTCTAATTTAGTGGTTTAGTCTTTTAAACTTGTGAATATGATTTTTAAAAATTAAAACAGTGTGAATAATTCAAGAAGAAACAATATTAGAATTATGCCATTTTCTTTCTATAGTATCTCTAGAAATATCTTTCTACAATTAATTTCCATAATTAGAAATCAATGCTTTTTTTTCCCTACGGAGATAATTTCTAGTAAATGTCTTTTTCAAATAGGAATCTAACTAGAAAAAATTTTTTAAAAATTTATGTATTAAATTTTTATAAGCACTAGTCCATATTTTGAAATTCACTGAAAGCTACATTAGTAGATAGTTTGTCTTTGGTTTATAATATGGGATATAAACAAAGGTACACTATTATGATCATCTCAATAGATGCAGAGAAATCATTTGACAATATTCAACATTGATGTATGATAAAAACTCTCAATAAAATGGGTATAGAAGGAAAGTACCTCAACATAATAAAGGCCGTATATGACAAACCCACAACCAACATCATACTCAATGGAAAAAACTGAGAACAGTAACAAGACAAGGATGGCCACTCTGGTCACTCTGTTTTTTTGGCTTTTTTTGCTGAGGAAGATTGGCCCTGAGCTAACATCTGTTGCCAATTTCACTCTTTTTTTTTTTCCCCTCCCCAAAGCCCCAGTACACAGTTGTATATCCTAGTTGTAAGTCCTTCTGACTCTTCTCTGTGGGTTGCCACCGCAGCATGACTTGCTGAGTGGTGTGTAGGTCCACACCCAGGACCTGAACCGGCAAACCCCAGGCCACCAAATGGGAGCCTGCGAACTTAACCACTATGCCATGGGGCCAGCCACTCTTGCCACTCTTATATGACATAGTATTGGAAGTCCTAGCCAAAGCAATTAAGCAAGAAAAAGAAATAAAAGGTATCCAAATTGGAAAGGAAGAAGTAAAACTGTCACTATTTGTGGATAACATGATTCCATATATAGAAAATACTAGAAAATCCACCAAAAAACTATTAGAAGCAGTTAACAGGTAGTTAACAGGTACAGTAAAGTTTCGGGGTACAGGGTCAACATACAAAAATCAATTGTTTCTGTACACTAACAATGAACTAGCAGAAAGAGAAATCAAGAATACAATCCCATTTACAGTCTCAACTAAAAGAATAAAATACCTAGGAATAAATTTAACCAAGGAGATGAAAGACCTATAAACTGAAAACCATAAGACATTGTTGAAAAAAACCAAAGCCATAAAGAAATGGAAAGATATTCTGTGCTCACAGATTGAAGGAATTAACATAGGTAAAATGTCCATATTACGTAAAGCAATCTACAGATCCAATGCAATCCCAATCAGAATCCCAAGAACATTTTTCATGGGAGTAGAACAAAGACTCCTAAAATCTATATGGAACAACAAAATACCTCAAATAACCAAAAAAAGTCCTGAGAAAAAAGAACAAAACTGGAGGTATCAATACTCCCTGAATTCAAAATTTACTATAAAGCTACAGTAATCAAAACAGCATGGTACTGGCAGAAAAACAGACACAGAGATCAATGGAACAGAACTGACAGCCCAGAACTAAACCCACACATCTATGGACAGCTAATTTTTGACAGAGGAGCCAAGAACATACTATGGAGAAAGAAAAGTCTCTTCAATAAATGGTGGTGGGAAAACTGGACAGCAACAGGCAAAGGAATGAAAGTAGACCATTATCTTACACCATACACAAAAATTAATGCAAAATGGATTAAAGACTTGAATGTAAGACCTGAAACCATAAAACCTCCAGAAGAAAAAATAGGCAGTACACTCTTTGACTTTGGTCTTAGCAATCTCTTTTTGAATACCATGTCTCCTCAGGCAAAGGAAACAAAAGAAAAAATAAACAAATGGGACTGTATCAAACTAAAAAGCTTCTGCACAGCAAAAGAAACCATGAGCAAAATGAAACGTCA